TTCTTGATGATCGTTGTGATAATTCTTCAAGTTTTAGGAGTCGTGATGCACATTCTGACCTTGGTATTGGTCGACAGTTAGTTTTGGTTTTATATCTTCCATCGGTGACGCTGCTATTATAAAGTAAAGATTCCATCTCCTCCAGAGTTTTTCCATGAAGTAAGATTGACTTGGTGTTTCCCGTGCTGTTCTTCCCTTGTGTATGTTGAGGCCTACTTATGCAATGGCTGCTACACTAGTTTTCATGGCATGCATTTGTTTTTGCGTATGAGATAGAAGGGTCAGGTCATCTCGTCTAGTTGATTCTCAGCTTTTCATTGTACTCTGTGCTTACCTTCATATATGTAGATATTCATAATCCAGTCAACCCAAAAAAAGGGAAAGGAGGAGATCAGGCAGCCGTGTCTGACTCCGGTCCTTGCTTAGAATGCATCTGTCAGCTGTCCTTTATAAACGGCTTTGAAGTGTAGTTCTTTCAATGAATTATGTATGATATAGGCGATCTTCTCAACTACTCGATCCGTAATGTCGAAGGTTCCATAATGTTCTCCTATCTACACTGCTAAACGCTCTATCATAGCCAAGGTAATTGATGTATGGTGACGAGTTTCATTCAATTGATTGTTCGACGATGATCCCTAATGTCGTGATCTGGTCTGTGCACGACCGATCCTTACGGAATCCGACCTGTTGACCTTGAAGATGGGGGTCCATTGAAACATTCATCCGGTTCATTAACTCTGCTGAAAAGTTTGCATGGTACTGATGGTATTGTGATAGTTATGTTGTTCTCACAATTACTCCGATCCTTCTTTGGTATTGTCGTTGTAGTGTGTCGTTTGTTAGTGACACTTGTTCCTCTCTCCGAATCTTGCTGAATAGAACGTGGAGCAGATTTGTAGTCACTTATATGTCTGGCTTCATTGCTTCAGCTGGTATATTACCAAGTCCTTCTGTTTTACCACACTTGATTTATCCGATGACCATACTGATTTATTTAATCTTTGTTGAAGTATTATCTATGGGAATGTCTGTTTGTGCTACATCGATGTTCGGTGGATTCGACGAAGCCAGTGTTTTCAAAGTTTCTTCAAAGTGTTCTATCCATCTGTAACCCTGTCCTTGAGTCTTATTGATTGACGTGCCTTCTTTGTTGTTGGCTGCTCTATTTGGTTTAAAGCATTTCCCTATCACTTTCTTCGTTTTGTCATTCACTTGTTTCATATTTCCTTCCGTCGTAGTTCCAAGCACTATCATTGTCAGGTCTACATGTGTTTTTACTTGTTGGCTCTAATGCTCCTACTCAATTGCTAGTTTACCTGATTGTATAGTGCTTTGACTTTATCTGCTCATGTTCGTCCGTTGTTGTGCTCTGTCTAGCTGTTCGTTCTCTCTTGAATCTGGTACAGGGCTTCCACCAAGATCCATTCTTTGTGACGATGCTCGTTGTGGCCCATCGCATCCTGACGCGTTGAAGTTTGTGCTATTTCTATCCCTTTCCAGTTGTGCTCGATGGTAATTCATTCGTCTTCCAGATCTCTGATTTCGCAATGAGACGAGATCATTCTTTTTAAAGAAGTTATTTGAATTTGTTGGGCAGAGTTTAAACGGTTCGAGTTTTACTCCGATCAGTGTTTTCCAGCAAGGGTATTTTGTACGGAAATCGGATGCTAATCTCATTCTAGAACTTTCTCTTTTAAAGTGGATAGATACTGGCAATAATTTTAAAACATCTATAGGCGGAGTTGAAAAACATGTTGATAAAATTATATTTAACATTGGTCTCTCAGGTACAGCATTAATTTATGGTGCACTAAGGTGAAGATATGTAATTATATTTATTCTTTTTCGAGGCAAAATTTGATAACTATTCGTTTTGTCTGCATGAATATCAGACATATTTTAGACTAATCCTTAAAACCATTCAATTCCAGTTTCAGTGATATTTCTTCCAATATCGTTATATTTTCATTCCGTATGTGATTATGCAACTGTAATTCCGTGAAAAGAAACCTGATCGTCAACTGTACGTAGAGTAGATAACATGAATGAGCACCATCGATACCACGATGGAGTAAGTAAGGGAATTTTTTATAAAATTTGAAAAGCTCATAAATGAGATGATAACGATTTTTAGCTTAAATGAGTGATTTTGACGTAGTTTTGTTCTCTGAGATGGATGGTTTAGTTGTGAAGCTTCCATCGTTATTCTGAACAACATCATTAGCACACAGTAGTCTACTCATCAATGCACAACAGAATAATGTTTGGTTGTTTAAGCTAAGGCACAGTGTTAGTGAGTGTAAATTAGGCGATTTTTGTGTGAAATTTTGAAAGATCAACAGTATTCCTGCATTTTTTAACTCTCTACACAAGTAATATTTTCGCATTCTGGCCATCTGCTAAGAAGCCGGGATAACAAAAGAATTCATAGGATTATCCGTACACTAATTCAGAAAATGGAATATCTACAAATTCTCCCTCAATCAATTTCGATTATGGTTAACTTTTGTTAACTTAATTAACAGATAATACTACTTCAACAATGTAAACAAGCGTATTTCTTTGTGTCAATATGATCATCATCTGGTATGTATGCACGTGTACGATTGAATATACGTGACTGACTCTAGCTAAAATGTTGACGGCTTATATATCGATGGATCATTCTCTTCACCATGTACATATGTACTAGAATCCCACTGCTAGCCTTTACCTGGCCTCGCTGTGTCCTTATTCTATTTCACTACAAATTTGTCTCTGAATTCACTCACATACTCACATTCACATCTCCGCTTCAAATTCTCTCCATTTGCTTATACATTTCGTGTCCGTGTTATCCCCAAATAAACTGTAGTCACCACTTCTTATTTCCTTCTGATTTCACACACCGTTGGGATTTATATAACGGTGTTATCAAAGTGACTGTTTGACAAAGCTGAGTCACTACAAGTCGAGTTCTTTTAATGAATAATGTAAATCCAGACATCTTTTCATCTATTGCATCTATATTTTATTGACTGACCGTAAGTGACAACGAGACTCTCTTTCTGTTGAAGTTGTAATTAGTCAGATTACTTAGTATAATATGGTTTTTTGCTCACCAAAGCTAACCGTTCAAGTCAACTGCGCAAAACACTAACTCTGGATGATGTAAATTCATCAGACTTGTTGAATTTTGCCTAACACAGTAAGTTCGCTCATTACAAAAACTGTCTCGAAAAATCATGTGACTCTTCTTGTTGTATTAGCACAGTAGTATAATAGTAATATATCTCCAACGAGACAGTTACATGCCAATTTTGTGGGTGTAATTATTGGTGTTTCCCGATGATCATAATTGAAAAAATATATATATTGGTCGACTGGGAGAAGTGAACAAAGACGCAGTCATGGAGATATGTCACCTAATGGATTTTCGTAGTGGAAATGCTCAACAATTTATAGTATTCGAGCATTCATAAAACGAATTTCTCTAATTTAAGATGTGACCTTGATAAACATTTAGATCAAGTTTATTGTCAGGGTTTGGATGAAAACTCTGTAGTTATCTGATATAAACGTGATGTCAGAATAAGGATAGGGAGTAAATAAGCACGAGACTTTTAACTGGAGTTGAAAACATGGTGGAATACATATTTTGCTCTTTCCCCTTTACTGTATGACTCCTTAACGAGTCTGACTGGCTTGCGATATATCAGGAAATATAAAAAGACTTGACATCCTGCCTAATTCTAAACCCGTTTCTTAGACTTCAATGAATTTATCAAGATGAACAATGATCGCACACATTGAGGGGAACGTTTGTTACATGTACGAATTTCGCAAACAAGGAAAAAACCTCAATGGTATAGATGTGTTGACATTTTTGAAAATCCAAATCAATATGTGTCGGTTTTACGATACATTGTACACGTGCACACTGAATAGTTGTTGATAATAGGTGGCTATCAAAACCCCCACCTGAAGCTGTGATCTCCATCCAGTTTATATGCGGTGCATTTAGGTCTCCAATAATGAAACAACATGTCGCTTTACTCCAAGAACATATATGTCTTAAGATAAAGTCGTTAGCGAGACAACACGAACTGCGTTATATTCCTGTCATAGTCACCAACCCGTTTCTAGACTTCACTATACAACATGTTATCTCACATGTGCTACTAACAAGCGCCTTTGATATGACTGATTGTATAAGAAAACGATCCCTAAAATATAACATTATGTCTCCTCCCTTACGACTTATGACTCTATCACTTCTAATACAGATGCAGTCTGCAATGATGGGAGAACAGTCTATATCTACGGTGAGCCAAGTTTCTATGACAACAAATATGTCGGGACTTTATTCATCCACCATCAAACTTAGCTCTGACATTTTATTTCGAAGACTAATAGCTTTCGGGTAGCACATATTTAAGGTGCTGTGGGAATCATACGTTCTACCCATACAGGTCTTGGAAGTCAATACTCCCGAGACCTGACTACCGAAAAACCCTTGATCATAACGTTTGCTTCGTCACATGGCTTTCCATTTCTTAACTCCATAAGAGCATTCTTCCACTTGATTAGATCCTCAAATTGTCAATCTGGTCGAATACGAGTATTTGGATCACGAGTTTTGTGTGCATTATTCAATATTACGTCTCTTTCTTCAAAGTCCCCGAGTACGAACTTCAAGATCCTTCTGGGTGTTGACAAATGTTTTTTCACTGTCCAGCTCTCACTCAGAGGTTTTCAAACGAACTAGACACAAAGATATGCAAAAGTTTAAAATGGTAAACGAGAGTGAAACACTGTAAATCTATAAATCCAATGTGCAATAAACAAAAAACCAGTGTGCCAAAAAATACAGATGGCAAATTACTCGCTAGAAAACAATACTCTTGGTTTTGCTATAGCTGAGAGTAAAAGTTCTGATTCGTAATGAACTATTGCAACTTTAAAATTAACTCGACGAACATTTACTTGGTGTGACACATTTCACCAACTAGATTTATATCGTTAGACACCAAAAAATACTTGAAACTACTGCTGAAAACAGGGAGAGTTGGGCAGAAATCAATGGATTATAGCTCATTAACCATTGCCATATTGTTTATTGGAACTTGTACAACCTTCAAAAACCTTGATAGATATAGAAACACGTACACGACGTTTTTTAAAAATGACATGTAAAATCTACCTGTGTGATGTCCAGTTTATTGTTCATTGTGTAAAGCTCAAAGTGCAAATCTTAAGTTAACTTTATAGATATGCGCTCCAGGAACACGTTTATCGAGTGATAATCACCTTTATTTGTTGATTGAGCTTTTCAATACCTTGAAAAGAACTGGATCGTTCTTACCGTGCTTTCCTTTACTTATAGATGAAACTTTAACTTTCAGAGCAATATTTTTTTCTGAACGTCGTCATGTGAATCGGTGTGGTATATTTAATGGTTAGTAACTAAGTACTAGATTAACGTAGCAGGTTGTAAAATTAATATACAGCTTTGTGAAGATCCTGGTAACTCTGCAACAGTTAAATCACTAGCTTTCTATTCACGTAATGCTCAAGAATTTTTCGGTGAAGTTGACAGCGAGGAACCGCATGTCCGTAAAATTCGAGAGATATTTCTAAGAAGAACCATAAATTTTTCAGTAGGTTTTGTATTAGGTAATATTTAAGAGAGCTTTCTCTTGTTTGCTAGAGATTTATCAATCATGTTGTTTCTTGTTTTAAATTTTAAAGCCCAGTTCCCACAACCTTAGCCGGAAAAAATTCATGTCTTGCTTACGGTCGTAAATAGCATTACAAATATAAGACTATTGCTGAATCCAATGCCCTAACAACTTAAGGTTGCTCCCGTTTTTCGTTGACTTTCTCTTTTGATTCCTCACAGCAGAAAGACTAAGGCTATAAATTGATCATCTGAATAGTCATATATTGTCTCCCTGTTAGCGATCAGCCAAATGATGGTACCCGAAAATTGAGGCAAAGTTAAGATCGGAACACGTTTTACTATGTAACCAAATCCCGTTTTAATGGCTTTATTGGGCTAAGTGTAAATACAATGTATGTAGCCTCCTTGACTCAACTTCACAGAATGCATTATACTTTCCATGGATAAGCACAGTTTATTCATCGTTTGAATCCCTTAAATTTAATGGAATTTAAACTAGCCGAAACTCACCGGAGGAATTCTGTTTTATTTATTTCAAAGGGCTGTTTTTTTATGAAATCTATTTTTATGCGGTATTTACGCTAAAGTCAAGCAGTGGTAAGAAAGATTACAGCAGATATTTCTAAGTCTGTTATAAAGAGAACAGATCTCTTTATATTATTCCCTGTACTTATTTCACCCTGCAAACTCATCAGAACTAATGATTTAGAATAACATTCTTCAAGAGTTTTCCGAATTGAAAAAAGCCTCATAGTTACGAAAGTCGATATCGGATTAAAAACGAACATACTTTTCTCAAAGACTTTCAGCTGACATAATGGATATACAATGCTTAAGATTATTGTTGTAAGATAATCGGAAGTATTAGAATTATTGTGTTAACTAAGGACTTCTGAAATAGTGCATTTAAAGGCAGATGGAACTAAATGAGCACATATGGATGTATATTCGTCATGTGTCTGTTGATCTGTATATTTGATGTGGACTTTATGATCTAGAATGTGCTCGTTAACATTGGAATTAACAACCGAAATTGAAAAAAAAACCCAACTGGTTCCTGGAGTATTTTTTGATCAACATGTCGGTTGTGTGTACGTAAATCATTGATATCTAAAACTCAAACCATAGATTTTCCGGCATTCTTCACCTCAATCCCCAATGCTCTTTGAAGATTACTTCCACGATAATATATAACATCTACAGACTCTAAAAAACTCAAATTCGAATAGCTTTGACAGAGTCTCTTTTGTTACAGAATGTTTATCATATCTATATTGCAATAAATAAAAAAAATTTTCTATTCCCCCTCTAGTTTATCAAATGTTGAAGCAGCAGAGGAATTAATAGCAGTTTTTAGTGCTCTGATGGAACCTTTTGCTCAATCATTAGAACAAGGGTATCTGGGAACAGTGGATAGATGTCTGCAACTTATGATATTCAACTAGATACTGATGGTATCTGCAACAAATTGTGATCCATTATCAGTCACTGATTCATAAAGACCCCCTCTTGACTGAAAACGTTTCTTAATGCTTTAATCGTTAGGTCAGAATTCGGCGAATTCGAGAAATAAACCTGAAGTCAATCAGAAAAATAATGATTAACAAAAAGTGTATAATACCTGCCGAGAAATGGACCACAATAGTCCGCTTGAATTTTCTACCATGCCTCAGAAGACACTAACCATAAAGGGTGAATTTGACTTATAACATCTTTCACAATTGTTTGCTGTATGACATATATCTGCATTTGTCTCCATTCACCAATATGTGAGCCTTACCAAGTATTTCATTTTCTCAACACACTAATGTCCACTATGAAGATCTTTAAGAACAGATTTACGTTCACTTGAACACAAAATACTATCAGAAGCAGTAGATAATTTATCCCTTTCTGGAAAATAGACAGGAAATCTACGTTTCAGATTAGCACTGTGTCATTTTTGTATCGCACTAAGTATACATTAAGATCACTGACTACGTTATTCATCACTTCTTGAAATATGTTTGAAAAAAACATGAACCAAATAGAAGGAATATGCATTCGAGTAGACCAAAAGAAATGTTAATTACTGTAGAAATAGGCCAAGATTGATCTGTAAGAGTTGAAAGACAAGCATCTTTTGAGACAACGTTCGAGAATACCTTAAAACCATGAGGTTGATTAGAAATATCTTCAGCTTCCCGCTTCGTGCACATTTGCTTCAAAAAAAGGGAGTTCAGTGTTAATCTATAATCACTACACATTCCGGGTGTTTTGCCATCAGACGTCAAGGGTGTAACAATAAGAGTGCTTTCTGTACACAAATATACTACTTCTTGAAAACCATAAGGAATTATTCATCTTTTAAGAAATACTGGATCACGCCGTAAATGAAGTTATGTAGGCTGAATTCCTGACCCTCCACTGAACTTAACACGCACAGCTATCAAACCTTTAAGTAAAGCGTCAGAAGCTTTTAAGATACTAATAAACATAGCTCCGTTCAAGAACTTTCCAAATCATTCAGACCTAGTATTGACAGTTTCACTAACTAAAAACTCCTAAGGCATGTATAAAGAATTATCTTCTTTTATTGGCAGTTCACAGTATCCTCGTACGGTCAGTTTGTTTCCAGTAAGTCCCAATACTGAGACTTCAATGGGTAGTACTACAATGTTATAATCTAAAGATTCCAAGTTCTTGGACAAAAAAGTCAACTCTATACTGCCTGTATCAACAACAAGGTTATGGCATAAACCGAAGGATGTATATAATCGCTTCCGAATATGAAAATTACTCCTGAAAATCGTAGATAAAGATAAATGATCATTAGGAACACCCAACTCAGTAAACACCAGCAATTCTTCTATACACCTTGACAGTACAAACTTATATGTTTTCAAGTTGTTTTATTGATTATTATTATAAAGGAAACCAGATGACTATAACCTAGAATGTGTAATCTAAGTCTGATCAGAATGTCTGAAAATAGGGAAGTATTACTCTGTTTAACCCGACAAATGAAGATTTTTGACAATAACTGAAAATTTCCTAGATGGTTATATCATTAACCATATTTTCCTGCCCAGTAGACTCGTTGTCTTACACTCACTTAAGTACTACAAATCCTTTTTTTGTGATCCTTTATCTGATTCCAATTAGATTGTATGAATGATTGCTATCGAAATATACATGTTGTCTATCCTCGTACATTTCATCGACTTAATTCACATTAGTGAATAACGGAATAAAATAAGTCAAATAGGAGAAAGAATTTCGAATACATCTATTTTGTGCAATCATTGATCTGAATAGACAATCAGAAAGACGTAGGGTAAAGAAGAGAGCAGACCGAAATGACGCTCAATGAAGATGATGTGTAAGCCAACTTGATCTATTCAAGCGTTAATCGAAATTTATAGTTACACAAAAATAGGTTGCAGACATGTGATAAGTAGGATAAGCAAAACAGTCAAGGTTAATTAGTGAATAATTAACAAAGTCAAAATGTGGCTCAAAAAGATTGGATAAATTGACCTGTCCAGAAGCTAATATAAGGTATATGAGCTTAACATAGTAACTAACACTACAACTTTATTATTGACAATTCACTGAATCAGAAGGGGTTTTGTAGAGATTTCAGTATTTTTGAAAATTGAAATCATGAGTCATTTGAAGCTAGACCACCACTGAAAACCTGGAAGCAATGCTTAACGGCCAATTCGTCCTATTATGGAACTCCTCAGTGGCAGTGCACACCCACGATCCCTCACTCGTGAGATTCGAACCCAGGACCTACCAGTCTCGCGCCAGAGCACTTAACTGATAGACCACGTAACCGACATCCACCTGTGTGCTTCCAGGTATTCCATGGTGGTCTAGCTTCAGTTGAATCACGCTTTCAACTATAAAATGTTCATTTGATTCTACAATCCAATTCAAATATTATTACAATAACATTAAACAGATCATATATTTCTTGTGTATATTTAGGGACCTCCTATAAGAATGAAGTTCACTACAATAACATCCTTTCAAAAAATTCCAATTAAACACCATAGTGAATTTGAAAAGGTGAGTGAGCTTTGTATATTTTTTTATAGATTTTAATATCCGTAATGATATCATAACGATAACTATGTAATAGCATGATTACTTGCTTACTTACGCCTGTTACTCATAATGGAGAATAAGCTCCCGGCTAGCATTCTCCAACACGCTCTGTCCTGGGTCTTCCTTTATAGTTATACCCAATTTTTGTTGATTCTTCTCATGTCCGTCTCTATTTCTCGGAGTAATGTGTTCTTTGGTTTTCCTCTTCTCCTTTGACCTTCAGGATTCCATGTGAGGGCTTGTCTTGTGACGCAGTTGACTGATTTCCTCAATGTGTGCCCAATCCACTTCCAGCGCTTTTTCCTGATTTCTTCCTCCGCTGAAATCTGGTTTGTTGTCTCACACAGTAACTTGTTGCTGATATTGTCTGGTCAAGGGATCCGAAGTATCTTGCGTAGACAACTGTTAATAAACACCTGTATCTTCTAGATGATGGCTTTCGTAATTCTCTACGTCTCCATCCCATATAGTAGAATTGTCTTGACATTTGTATTGAAAATTCTGATCTTGGTGTTGGTTGACAATTGTTTTGAGTTCCACATGTTCTGCTGCTGCTCTTGCTTTGCCGATCAGCGCCCTCATATCTTCATCAGATCCACCGTGTTCATCGATGATGCTGCCTAATACCATGTTAGTTGACTTTATTTCAATAACTAGTTTTCAGTGTCCCATTGATATGATTCCTATTGAATATGTTATGAATATAAACCTTCAGTTTACTTTTGTATACTACTCCTAAACTAATCCGTATAAACAACCACAGTAATAACAAGCAAAAGACGGATTAAGTTGGAAAATTTTATTTCAGACATTATTTTACTCAAACTCTAAAGGTTAAATATTCGCATGCGAACCAAAGGCCCTTGGTTCGAATCCCATGAGCGGAATCGTGGATGCCCATCACTGAAGAGTCACAGAATAGGAAGAAATGGCTGTCTGATGCTTCTAGATTTTCAGTGGTGGTCTAATATCAATCCTATAGTTGAAATCATGAGTCAATTGAAGCTAAACCACTACGGAAAACATGGAAGCACTGGATGGCCGTTTTGTCCTATTGTGGGACTCCTCAGTGTCAGTGCACATTCACTATCCCGCCTCGTCCAATGCTTCCAGATTTTTCATGGTGGTCTAGCTTCAATTGACTCATAATTTCAACTATATAAAATTACTAAAATTCCCCCTTCTAATATCGATCAGTTTATAACCTCATTCAAAAACTTAACAGTCTCCACAACTCCATCCACTCAGTGGTCTATCGGTTAAGTGCTCTGGTGCGAGACTGGTAGGTCCTGAGTTCGAATCTCGCGAGTGCGGGATCGTGGATGCGCAGTGCTGACGAGTCTCATAATAGGACGAAACGGCCGTCCAGTGCTCCCAGGTTTTCCATGGTGGTCTAGTTTCAATTGACTCATGATTTCAACTATTTAGTTAATCATGTTTGTTCCCATAGTAACTAATTAATTTTAAACAATGAAATTAATTTTGATTTCATCTTCATTTGGATTTATTAATTAATATTAATTTCAGATAGATCCCCCTTGTTATGCTGACATCATCCGATTAAGTAGTATATATTTAATTTATTATAGTTACGAATTGTACTGTTAATCTTAAACAGAAACTATACCCAACAGCTGTAAACGTTATGATATACACTCTTAATCGGCTTTACATGACGATGAAGTATCAGATCACTATGACGGAGTTCAAATAGCCTCGTGTGGATAAAAGAACGGGACTGATCATCTACTTAAAGAGACTGATAAATAGTTTGACGGGTATTAAATCTATCAAGTGAATCACATGTTCTTGAAACAAGCTGTGTTGTAGTTGAATAGAATCATACTGTTAGGGTATATGGTGTAAAGTGATTGGATTGTATATGTAGATAAATCGTTCAATGTCCATCCGAAGCAGATTAGTATTCATTCGGTGAAAAAGAGAAATCTTAATGTTATATTACATAAGTTTCATAAATAAGTGGTTTGATTTGTTTATTCCGGTTAGTGATTTCTTAGAAAAGTTGTTTTCTACGGAATGAGATTGCTGACCCTATGCCCGACCCTCTTCATTTATCTGGGCTTGGAACAGGTATTAACCCCAAGAGAGCTACAGGCCCCAAAATACACAAGGGAAAAAGCAAGTTCCTCAAATAAAATGCAGAGAACACCAACCCAGTCACACTTGAAAGAAAAGCTGTGGAGAAGATGTGGAAACTTTCACATAGCTGTGAAGCTTCATCAATGAATGTGGATGATCTGGTGAAGACGTATATGTAAGGATTGGCAAAGCAATGGCAGCATTTCTATACTCACAAACCATATGGAACTAAAAACAATTGTATGCAAGCCAATATCAAAATGAGAATCTTCAACAAGAGCATCATTTCAGTTAGTTCTACTTTACGGAGCTGAAACTTGGAGAATTACCACTACGATTATCAACATGATACAAGTATTTATAAACAATTGTCTACTCAAAATACTCAATATTCGTTGACTGGATACCATGAGTAATAACCTACTGTAAGAGAGAACAAAAGAGCTTCAAAATGAAGATAAAATTTGGAAAAAAAGAAACGATGAATTAACTATGGCAAACATTACAGAAATCATCAAACTGCATCAACAGACAAGTACTAACTTGAAATTCTGTAGGCAAACAGAAGAGAGGAAGATCAAACAATACACCATACTGAGAATCAGAAGCAAACATGAAAAGAATGAATTAGAAGTGGAAAGGATTGTACAAGATAGAATCCAATTAAGAATATTGTTGGGTGACCCTACTCTACTCCACAAGAGATAACAACCATAAGTAAGTAAGTAAGTGAGTGAGTGGGTGAGTGAGTGAGCTAGTGAGTGAGTTAGTAAGTGATGAATAAGTGAGTGGGTGAGTGAGTAAGTAAGTGAGTGAATAAGTAAGTGAGTGAGTAAGTAAGTAACTAAGCAAGTTTCATAAATAATCTCAAACTATAAAATAAATAGTTTCTATCACATTTCCCCCAACTGATCAGAACTGTTTTTGAAAAAATGAAAAAAAAAATGTTTTTCATCTTCTTTTTAATTCCTAGTTACCAACGTGTTACACTTTAATGATACCAGATGAGTAAGTTTCTATTAGCAGATTGAATAAAATTTAATGATTTCTATTTTAAATCAATGTAAAACTCTCTTTTTTCTCTATTCAATATACTACTTATTATCTTTATTTGTTTAATATTAGATACATTTTCAAAGTTGAAATCATGATTCAATTGAAGCTAGACCACCATTGAAAACCTGGAAGAACTAGACGACCGTTTCTTCCTATTATGGGACTACTCAGTGACAGTGCGCATCCACGATCCCGCACCCGTGAGATTCGAAACCAGGACCTACCAGTCTTGCGCCAGAGCACTGAGCCGGCCGGCATACAACAGTGTTAATGTCTAACTTCCAGTTCGAGCTTCAATCGACTCATGTTTTCAACTTTGAAGAATACTGAAATCTCCACAAAACCCCTTCTGACAATATTAGATACCACATTTTTATTTTCGTTATTCCCACTATTTCAGTTGAATTCATGAGTCAATATAAGCTAGATCATCGTTGAAAACCTAGAAGAACTGAATGGTCATTTCATCCTAGCATAGGGCTCAGCTGTGCGTAACGACAATCCTCCATACGGGATTCGAAATCAGCACCTATCGGTCTCGAATGCGAACGGTTGAACTGCACACCACTGTACAGGCATTTAACGGTGTTAATGTCTAAACTCTGATTAGAATAAGTGTGTTTTGTTTTGTTTTTTGAAAGATGAATGAACTTTTTACTGGTAGACCAGTGTTTTTTTTTGTTTTCTTATATTTTGCAAAAGTCAGTTTCCTAACTCTCTCTGTGTCTTTCTAAGTACCCGTTTTTTCTTACGGTTATAATAGTTACTGACGGCAACAACAACAAATTGCACTTTTATGAGGAAAGATCAATAGTGGCTAACAGTAAAATCCAGAACGCGCGTTTTGTCCTACATGGGACTCGTTAGCTGGATGTAACTGCATCTCACAGTTGATATTCACTCTGAGGACTCGAACCCATTCCCGTTCGCTTCAAACGCCGTTGCACTTTCCACTCAGCTGCTGAGTTCAGATAGCCACCGGGTTGTGCTATGAGGTGAATTTATATATATATATATGTCAGTCAGATACAACGTAGGACCAGGCACATATATGTATCGGTCCAAGTTGCCATATCTCGTTAGCATAACAAGATGAACACCGAATTCATAGAAGTAATTAATTAATTCTGACACTAAACGACTACAACTACAGACTATAGTCATCGTGGTGACTGGAATCAGAGAGTTCTCGATATGGCTCAGATCGAAAATTCAACTACCCTTCATGAACTGATGTCGTGACTTCTTTGATAACCACTAACTTAAGTTACTGTACACAAACCAATGAAGATTATTACTAGCGACATTTTAGCTCAGTAAGCAAATAGATTTATGGATTAGGCTACCATTAGTTATATTTTATGTTAGGTTTATTGATGCTTATATTTGATTTCTCAAACCGAGATAGACGAGGCAGGGTTCGAATATGTTAATTAGTGACTGAATACCGAGTACAGAGACCTCTAAAACACAAGTTTGCTTGATTTTCATTAAACGCTCAATCAGTCAGCTACAACGTAGTACCAGGCACATTTATTCATCGGTTCAAGTAGCCATACCTCGTTAGCACAACAAGATGAACAACGGATTCATAGAAATAGTTAATTTAGTGGTTGTAGTGTACAAAAGATAGGTTGTATATAAGGATATAGTATAGGAAGGAAGAACGTTATGAAGCAATTTCAACCTTAAGGTTTAAGGGAAGATAAAGGGTGTATACACCTACACCATTGTGATCGATTCTGAGCCATGTTACACAGAGTCTCCAACCATTGGTTACGATAGTCACGCGGACCCCAACCAAGTAGTCTGCATTTACCAACATGGCTCAGACTAGAAGTTAGTGACTTCAAGCTGTGATGCCACGTTTTGATTTGGCCTCCCCTAACTCTCTCCCAATCATCCCTAATACTAGTCAGCATAGCGCGTCGTGGTAATCAGTGTTCAGGCATACATGAGCTGGTATAATGGGGTCTGAGTGTATAAAGTTTTCAATTTGTTTCTTATTTACACTGATAATAAATTCTTGATCTCTCCATCTGTTTTCTACCAAATTCTTATTCCCTTTTTTCCAGTGGTTACTTAACAGATGATAAACAATTGCTTAATTCAAATTCATTTACTAACCATTTATCATTTGTGAATCGAACTTGTACACGTAATGCCAAATGTCTCATCTCATTGATGAAAATTCCTGATGAAGATTCTAAAGAAATTGACGAAACTAATATGAGAAAAAGAATAAATCCTATCAAACTACTCACTACATCGTCATCACCTATGATGAATCCATATAAGTGTGATTATGGACAGATTATTTATCCAGCTGATAGATTAAAATTACCAAATGTACAAATGATTGTTAAAGATGAACAGGTGAGGTCAAATGAATAGTTTCCATCATAAACTAAGATAGACTTAGAAATCATTGAAAACTAGATGGAATTGTAGACATGTTCCGTTACAATATAGAACTCTTCTGAAGCAAGTACTCGCCCCCGAATGCCCTGGTATGGCCAAGAATGGGGAGAGTCCGCTCTCCCTCTTCAAATGCTCTCACATGGCCACGCGTATATTGCCTCTACCAGAGAAGTCCTACTCACTGCCTTCTCGTACCACAAGCGTTGTCTACGAAAATTGAATGTCCGGCGCTTTAACCGGGTTGGTGGACACAGCTAGTCCACCTAGTGGAGTTGGAAAACCCTGATTCCAAACCAATTGTGCACTTGGGCTCCAGTAACCTGAGGGAAAAACTGGAGTATGAATCAGTCGTTAGTCACCGGCAACCATAGGATTGCATCTCCTTACGATACTCCACTGCCTTGTGGGTTAGACCTTTAGGTTAAAGGCTCCGGGTGGTGCCCCCTAATAAAACCATCTGCTTCAGTTTGAGCATCTGGGCAGTATCCCAGCCCTCACACAAATCAAATGAGATTTGTGCGGCGCATATGTATCTGGTGCTTTCTCGTACCAATATTTATGTGTTTAAATAAATAAATATTGATCTACTGAACCTAAGATATTTAGGCTCCGTGACTAGTGTTTTACAGTTTAGATCACTAACCTGGGTTTGGTTTTATAACGTGGTTGAACTCCATCATTTATAACTTACCATAACTTTGAGAATATGCAAACTTCCATGACACAATAAAGAATATAGCCTTCAAGGACATTTAGATTTTACAGTGTGTACAAGATCATTCAGTTGTAGAGCTGGAACTCCATGATTTATGGTTTTGACTATAGTAACATACTGAGTTACATACAAAAATGTTTTAAAAAGATCTGGAAAACGTTGCAAAACACTGAAGTTAGTAGAATACGTTATTTATAATCTGTCCCTTGAAAAAGCTAGGTAATGATTACATTTCAATTCTAACGTCTTATTTATTTATTTAAACACATAAATATTGGTACAAGGAACCATCAGATACATATCCGCCGCACAAATCTCATTCGACTTATGTGAAGGCTGTGATACTGTCCAGGTGCCCGAATTGAAGCAGGTGGTTTTCTTAGGGGGCCACGCCCCAAGCCTTTGACCTAAAGATGTGATCCACAAGGCAGCCGAGCATCGTGAGAAGATGCAGTCTCATGGTAGCCGGTGACCAACGATTGATTCACACACCATTTGTTCCTTCAGGATACTGGAGCTCATGTGCACCATTGGTTTGGAATGAGGATTTTCCAACTCCCCTAGGTGGACTCTCTGTGCCCACCAACCCGGTAAAAGCGCCGGACATTCTAACGTCTTACAAATAACAGGTAGAAAATGCCTACTCCTGTTACGCCCAATGGAGCATAGGCACCCGACCAACATTCTTTACTAATAACAAAATTTACAACAGTAGATTAAAGAGAATGTATCAAATCAAACTCTTCAAAGATAACAAATACTATCAGTGAGATATAAGTGTATTCAACTTGTAGATGGCGTCGAGTCTTGATTGATTATGATCATCACTACAGCGAGATTACGCGCCCAAAAACGACTTGGTCCCTTTGATAACTCGCAAACCAGAAGACTGTAACTGGTCCAGATATAGTATATTTATTGGCAATGCCGTGGTATCGAATGAATACCGAGACGTACCAAAGATTACAGGCAATAAGAGCAGAGCGTAAGAAAGTTCGAACCAACAAGATGGAGTGGAACGAGAAGTGACTTTGATACAGTTAAACAACACCTACATCAAAACACTTATCCATTATTCCATTTTTGACTTCAATTCAAATAAATGATATTTAACTTTCTTTCTTTGAATTTATTCATTTATAGAATTTAAATTTTTATTTTCATTAATACATTCACCCGATTGATTTCATTTTGATTTCTTACTTTTCACAGATGGATATGGTTGAAAATGATGCTGATTTTTAGTGATTTTTAACTTTCTACTTATTTTCTATTTAAGTAGTATTCTGAGTTTGCTCAAAAGAAAATACCGAGATTTTTGTAATTCTTATTTTTATACTAAATTTAATAGTGAAATTGTTAGTTATTTTATTTATCATAGTGACATTGTAATAAATTACCAGATTTAAGATCACAAAATTAATTTTATATTTGAATTTAACTTTGCTTTGAACGATAATAGACTTATTAAAGTCACTGCTTTGAGTATTGGTTATATGGGAAAATTGATTAATGTAGATGACTAACGTAGATGATCTATGTCGAATAATTGGAGACCTACTCGAGTTAGATGAGAATAGTGTGACCAAAAGCTAACTCCGAAGTCACACCTAGCAGTCAGCATATAACGTGGATTGCTCCTTCGACGTATCAAGGTATTATGGCTGCTTTGAAGACGGTATAACACAAAGGATGTTAGTACAGAACTATATATTAGTAAGGATGATAATAGAGAAGATAGTGAGACTACCACCACATGGTACAGTCCATGGCATACGATTAAGTGATGCGCGTTGGTTGTCCTTGACCTTGACGGGGATCGATGATCTGTTCGATATTCAGTGACTCAATTGCAGGATGATCTGACTAGGATTCAGTGACACTACAAGACTACTCCTCATTGATGAGATAATTATCATCAAAGATAATAACACTTGGATTTCCTGCGTATAACTTAAAAAGACTTACAAGCCGGTAATTATCTTATTGTGGATTTTGATATGATTTAATGCTTTAAATTACTTACGAATTATTAAGTAAAAGCTTGACTATACAGTGAAAATTATCTGGTTTGGAAGAAGAGTCATAAGTAACACCAACTTCAAATTTCCTTGGTATTGTTTGTTTGAATCTTCCAATTGATGTTCAACACTGCAGTTGATCAGTGTGTTATTGACATATGTGCATACTGTGCGAATTGCCTCGATATTGCCTCAATTGACAAGCATTGTAAGAGGCTGATCAGTTGCAGTCCTAACAAAATCGATTGGAAGATTCAAACAAACAATACTAAGTTGAATTTAAACTTCACCCCATTGCACAAACAAGTGGCTATCAGGACTCAGTGGCCGAGTGGATAACGCGATGACGTTTGAAGCAAGGGTACTGGGTTCGAGTCCCAGAGTGAACACCAACTCTGGGATATGGCAGGTACATCCAGCTGACGAGTTCTAAATAGGACGAAACGTGCATCCTGAATTCCAGTGCTAGCCACTGTCCATGTTTGCTTTTAAACATCAACTTCGTTTGCGATGTTAAAGAAGTTTAGTAGTTCAGGTGGATGATTTTGATTTAGTTTTGTATTCCGAGCTATATGGCTCGGTCGTGTGCCTTTCATCACTTTTATAAACGATTTCATCAGCACAAACTTCCTTTCCACCTGCAGTTTGTGCTGATGATGTCGTTCAGAATAATAATGAAAGCTTCATGAGCAAACCATTCAACTGAGAGAACGAAACTTCGTCCACCTTCAACTGAATGAGTGTTCGAAATGAAAATTATTGGATTTTAACGAAGAAAAATAGATTTTAAATATTGAAAACTCATTACTTATATAAAACCACTGAATCCAAGTACGAGTCCCTTATAGTGGTTATGAAAGATTCTTGATATTTTAACGAACTGTATACTCGTTGACTTACTTTTGCAGGGTCTTCTCTTGCGTTACCTTAGCTAGTTTGTTTGAAGCCTATACCAGAGTTCCATATGATCAAATTGGATAAAATGTTTTCATACAAACATGGTTAGCAGAAATGGATAGTGGCTAGCAGTGGAATCCAGGACGCGCGCCGCTTCGACCTATTTGGGACTCGTCAGCTGGATGTACCTGCCATATCCCAGAGTTGGTGTTCACTCTGGGACTCGAACCCAGTACCCTTGCTTCAAACGTCATCGCGTTATCCACTCGGCCACTGAGTCCTGATAGCCACTTGTTTGTGCAATGGGGTGAAGTTTAAATTCAACTTAGTATTGTTTGTTTGAATCTTCCAATCGATTTTGTTAGGACTGCAACTGGTCAGTCTCTAATTGGTATATGTGCATACTGTGCAGCTGACGAGTCCCAAATAGGACGAAACGCGCGCCAAACTGGATTCAACTGCTAGCCACTATCCATCCACCTCTGCTTACCATGCTTGTGAATTTAGGCTATATCGAGGCAATACGCACAGTATACACATATGCCAATTAGAGACTGACCAGTTGCAGTCCTAACAAAATCGATGGGAAGATTCAAGCAAACAATACTAAGTTGAGTTTTCATACAAAGTCTACATTATCCTGTTAACTGTCTAAAATTTTGATTCGAAACATCATAAAGTGGTTCACATCAACAATAATGGCCAATTCTGTTCAATCTTTATATCCATTTAACTAAACAACTAATCTAGAATGGATGAAAAGTTTATAGTAGTTATTTAATTTCATAGTTTACCCCCATGAAATCATTATAACTAGATAGACATGAAGTGTCATTCACTGGCTGGATACTATCAGCAACAGCGTTTTATGGGAGAGGAAAAACCAGATTCCAACTGAAGAGGAAATTAGGAAAAGACGTTGGAATTGGATCGGATACATTGATGAAATCACTAACGTGCAATACAAGGCAAGCCTTAACTTGGAATCCGGAAGGGAAGTGGAATAGAGGAAGGCCAAAAAACACATTACTTTTGGGAAATAGAAATATTATCTTAGTATACGATTCCTCAGTAGTCTAAAGGTTAAACACCTGCTAAAAAATCGTAGATTCAATTCTTGATGATAAGATCATGGATACTTACTTAAAAGGTGTCCCATTACAACGACAAATTAGATATTCCATATTTCGTACTCCCGAAATGGTTGTCTGAATAAATTGAGACCATAGTAATAATTTATATTAATAGTAATAGTAGTTATGACAGTGATAGTCTGTAGTAATATAATGTTTGTAATTTATCATACTTGGCGATGGTTGGAAGAAAGTTAGGGGCAGACAAATCAAAACGTGAAATCAGAGCTTGAAGTCAATAACTTCCAGTCTGAGTCGTGTTGGTAGATGCAGACTACTTGGTTGGGGTCTGCATGACTATCGTATCCAATGGTTGGAGACTCTGTGTGACATGGCTCAGAATTAACTACTTCTATGAATTCAGTGTTCATTTTGTTGTGTTAACGTGGTATGGCAACTTAGACCGATGCATCTATGTGCCTGGTCCTACGTTGTAGCTGACTGACTAACTTTGTAGAATGATAAATTTAAAATAATCTCAAAATTTCAAGCTGTCATAACGTGAACAACCAAGAAGTCAGAACTAAGCTCTTTAATTAATGATGAAAACTCATACCTAACAAATGCGAAGGGGTTTTGTGGAGAACTTAGTATTTTCATAGTTGAAATCATAAGTCAATTGAAGCTATACCATCATGGAAAACCTGGAAGCACTGGATGGCCGTTTCGTCCTATTTTGGGACTCCTCAACAGTGTGTATCCACGATCTCGCCTCACGAGATTCGAACTCAGGACCTACCAGTCACGCGCTAGGACACTTAACCTCTAGACCACTGAGCTGGCCGGCATCCAACGGTGTTAATGTCTAACTTCAACCAATCCATGATTTTCCGCAACCGTTCACCAATTGTCTTCAGTGAGTTGATATCTCTACAACAGACTTGGTTGAACTCCACCTAATATCCTTGAGCTATACAGAGGACATACTATTCTGTTGTATTCTACAGTGTACGTAGATTATCATGTAAACTTATATGAATAAATCGTATATGTCTATGTAAAGAATTTAGTCGAATGACAATAACTGACAAAGAAAAATATACTATGAATATATAGTCTCCAGTGATTACATAACAAAAGTTAGAGTACTTACTTACGCCTGTTACTCTCAATGGAGTATAGGCCTTGGAACAGCATTCTCCAACCCACTCTATTCTGGATATTCCTTTCTAATCCTATCCAAAAGTTAGAGTAAGTGATGATGATTAAATGAAAAATCTTATTTTATTAATATATTGAATCTCAAAGCTTGTTAATGAAGTACTAGTCCAGTCAGTTAGTTAGTCAACTCTAACATAGGACCAAGTATATTTATATATACATCGATCCAAGTTGCCATACCCCATAAGTACAACAAAATGAACACTGAATTCATAGAATTAGTCATTTCAATGGTAATAATATATAAAAGAAAGATTGTATATAAGGATATAATACAAGAAGAAAGAATTAGTTCATAGAATCAAAGGTATAAAGTAATCTCATAGTTTAAGGGAGAACAAAGAGTGTATGTACTTACCCCATTGTGATAGATAGGTAGGTAACCTATGGTCCACCAGTTCGAATCTGTTTTCTTTTTTTATCGTATGCTTTATATTGATTTTGAAAAATAGCTTATTTATCAGTACTTAACATTTGTCATGATTCGAATGAAGCAATCGTTTAATTGTCGATTCTCAGCAATGCGCATCCACGATCCTGCCGGCGGGAATCGAACCCAAGAATTTCGGTGTCACGTGCAAACGTTCAACCCTCAACCTACTGAGCCGAGATTGAAGACGATGGTGGACGGTCGTGCAATTTTCGTGGATTGGTTGAAGTTAGTCATTAACACCATTGGATGCCGGCTCAGTGATATAGAGGTTAGGCGCTCGCACTCAAAACCGTTTGGTACTCGGTTCGAGTTCTGCGTAAGATTGTGCATACTCAGTTCCAAGGAGTCCCATACTAAAACGAAATGGTCGTCCAGTGTCTCCAAGTTTTCTATAGTAGTCTAACTTTAATTGGCTCATGAATTCAACTATCAAATTACTATCAGAATAGGGTTTCGTGGAGATTTTAGTAATTTCATATAGTTGAGATCATAAGTCAATTGAAGCTTGAACACCGTGGAAAACCTGGAAATACTGGAGGACCGTTTCGTCCTATTGTGGGACTCCTCAGTGACAGTGCGCATCTACGATCCCGCCTTGCG